CCGGTCCAAATTTTAAAAACCTTGGACAGGGAGTGGGTGCCTTGCCTTGAGCTTGGCTTGGTGTGCGACATGGCTTGGCCCAAGGCCCGGCCTATGGACCAACCCAACCCATGGCACGACACGGACCCATGCGGGCTCAAGCTGTGGGCCATGCTGAACCAACCCCCCAAATTATCCTAGAAGAGGGAGGCACGGCCCGAGATGCCTCGTGGGCCAGCACAGCATGACTCACACTTTGTGTGGGCCACATGCGAGTCGTGTTGTGCTAACTTAGCACAACCCAATTTACACCTCTACTTGAACCTGCCCAATACTGGGGATGGGGCAAGGAAATTCAAGGATTCTCCATCCTTGATTAGGAATGGGGTGCCTTGTCCCTGAACTCGCTTGACATTAAGGAGTGGTTACCTTGCCTTGAACCCGTGTGACACTAGGGACAAGGTAGGGATGGGGTAGAGTGTCTTGACTATGGGGTAGGGAAAGGGATGGGGGGTGCCCTGCCCTGAACCCACCCCATTGTCATTCCTATATAATTGTTAATTATTAGTGGAATTAATAAAAATGTTAGCTTTTATAATTATTTTCATTTATTTAAAGTTAATCAAATTTTCATTTAAAAATAATAAAAAGAATAAAAATTATTAAAATTATTACAAATTATTAATAAAACTAAATTTATTAAAAAATGTTTGTTCGTATTCAATTAACAATAATTATTTTTTATAAATCAACATTAAATGAAAAATAAAATTATTAAATCTTTCGGATTTTCCCGTGCACCGCATGGGTCCCTGCTAGTAAGGTAGAAAAGAAAAGCCAATTGTATGCCATGATTTTTTTGGCTTTTGTATGCATTTAATTTCATTTAGCAGTACAGGTACAATTCCTAAAATAAGGTAAAAAATCATGGCATACATGATTTCTTAGCAGTTTAAAATCACGACATACAAAATCATTCAATTTACTATAATAAGGTGATACACAAAGCTGCACAAGATCAACGAATAGGCAGTTCAACCACCATGAAGAATTACAAAGGAAATAAGCCATCACTATGTGTAGCATCCTTATTAATCATTGATTAGCAACACAATTTTCTGTAGAGTTAAGCCTCAGCCCTCTAGGAACCCAACAACTTTGCATCATTATGGGCCTGCTTGGCAATGCAAGCCCCCTTATCTCTGCTTCTGATTTGGAATTATGGATCTCCAATAGCGCCACTAGAAGACCAAAAGTAACTGCCATGAAGACATGTAAAAGGCCCCTTCAAAATACCAATAGGGCATATCTCCCAAATAAAGCGTATTTCAAAGGGTAAGAAAATTTCCCCATCAGATTCAAATTTTTCGGGTTCTAGCTTGCATATTCTTGCAAAGAAGCTCAATTCAATCAAAGCCTTTTTCTAAAATATTGGAAGCAAGGTTATAAAGAACAATCAAAATAAAAAAAAAAAGGAAATGCCTGAATTTGACTAAGGAATTTGATTTGGCTAAAGAGATTGGTCCTTTGTCAGAAGTAGATAGGAAAAAGAGGCTTAAAGTAAAGATGATCCTAGATAAGTTAGCTTACAGGGATGAGCTAAAGTAGAGACAAAGAGCAAAAGTTAACTGGCTGAAAGTAGGGGATAAAAATTATGGTTTCCTTCATAGGATGGCAAATGCAAGAAGAAGAGTCAATCAAATTGAAAGGATCGAGTTGGATGACCAAGTGGTTGAATCTTGGACTGAGTTGAAAAGTGTAGCAACTTACTACATTTCAAATCTGTTCAAGGAAAGATGGAAAAGGAGACCCCTCCCCCTTGATCTAGACTTGAATAGGACCTCGGATGCTCAACAAAGAGAACTAGAAGCCCCATTCTTAAAGGAAGAGGTTTGGCAAGTGATAAAAAAACTTGGAAGTTGATAAGTCTCCAGGGTCGGATGGGCTTACGAACATTTTATATAAAAGTGTTGGGAGGTGGTAAAAGTTGATCTTCTGAAAGTTTTTCAGGACTTCCATTCTATGGCTACTTTTGAAAGAAGTCTGAATGCTACTTTTATCTCTTTAATTCCAAAGGTAGAGGGAGCTACAAATTTAAAGGACTTCAGACCAATAAGTTTGTTAAACAACTTCTACAAAATTTTAGCCAAGGTTCTAGCTGAAAGGATGAAGGTCTTGAGTTCAATAATTGCTAAAAACCAGTTTGCTTTTGTGCCAAGAGACAAATGTTGGATAGTGTCTTGGTGGCAAATGAACTGATTGATTCAAGGCAAAGAGAAGGAAAACTGGGGCAGATCTGTAAGCTTGACTTGGAAAAATCCTATGACCACATTAACTGGAGATGCTTGGACTTTGTGTTGAAAAATAAATGAATTTTGGGCAAAGATGGAGGAACTAGATAAAGGTTTGCATTACTTCTCCTAAATTTTCAGTTCTATTAAACAATCAACCAACTGGTTTCTTTAAAAGCTCTGGAGGTCTCTGACAAGGAGATCCCGTCTCTCCTCTTCTTTTTAATTGTGTGATGGATATATTAACAGCCTTTGTGAATCGGGGGGGGGGGGTAATGAGGGCTTGTGGCAATGTTTTGAAACCGCATTGGGAGGAGATGAAGTTCAAAGACTCCAATTTGTTGATGATACTCTCTGCTTCATTGATGCTGATGTGGAGCAATTGGGAGTGCTCTTTGGGGTTCTCTACTGGTTTGAGGTAGTATCAAACCTAAAAGTTAACTAGGAAAAAAAGCAAGATAATCCTAGTGGGAAAAGTAGAAAATATTCAAGAGTTAGCTGAGGTCCTAGGCTGCCAAGTTGGCTATTTGCCAATTATTTATCTGGGGCTCCCGTTGGGAGCTAAATGCACATCATCCCTAGTGTGGGAGCATGTACTAGAGAGGTTAGAAAAGAAGTTGGCTTCATGGAAATCAAAATATCTTTCATTAGGTGGTAGGATTACTCTTCTAAAGAGGTCATTATCAAATCTGCCCTCCTTCTTCCTGTCTCTTTTCCCAATGCCAAGGAAAGTGGCCTAAAAAGTAGAAAAGCTGTAGAGAGACTTCCTTTGCAAAGGGTGGGAAGAGGAGAAAAAAATTCATTTAGTTATCTGGGATGAGGTTTGTGCCCCTAAAAGAAAAAGTAGTCATGGGATAAGGAAAATGAAGGTCTTTAATAAGGCTCTTTTGGGTAAATGGATATGGAGATTTGGTATAGAAAGAGGTAGTTGGTAGAGAAGTTTGGTCGCAGCCAAATATAACACAAATTATAGGGACTGGGTGACAACAGTTTCTAGGGGTGAAAATTTGGTTTATTCGATTAAAAACTAAACCGAACAAACCGAAATTTTTAAAACCGAAACTGATTTACAATAAAACCGAAATAACCGAACTAAAATTTTCGGTTCAGTTTTTGGTTAAAAACTGAATTTAGTTATTATATATATAATATTATATATTATAACCTATAATATATATTATAAAATTTAATTTCATTATAATACATTATATATAATATATTAATATATAAATATATAGCATATTATATTATATATTATATATAATATATAATATATAATATATCTTCTTTCGATATATTAAGAGCCAGAAGAAAACATGCATAGGAGAAAGCATAAGCATACCAAATATCTTCTTTCGATATGTTTATTGTTTATCTATTACAACTAACTATCAGAAGAGCTTTAGTTGTATGTACCTCTCATGGATCTTTCAACGAACATGCTGCCATAACTTGATTACATCGTTTAAATCCCTAATTAAGACCGAATTTGAGTTTGCAACGGTTTCCCATTCTCCATTTGCATTTTCAGGAGAAAGAACCTTTTCTGTACTCTCTAAGATTTTCAGAGCCCTTTTGATTTGTGGGAAGAGTAATATAGAATCGAAATAGGAACATCTGCCATAATAGTGAACAATTGAGGTAGATGCTTCTGAAATAGGAGAATGGTGCAACCACTCCGGGCATGGGGGTTGGAATTTGGAAAGAATGAGAGAAGGGGACAATGACGTTTAACGGTGAAGATGCTAATGTCTTTCTTATTTTCAGATGAATTTATTTTTTTAAACATGATTTAAATGGTTATTTTTGCAACTGGTTACCTGGGATAAATTGTATTCATCGATACAGACAAGTCGGATGTTGATTAGTCCATATCATCCGATACGATATGGAAAAAGTGTTAAGGGAAATTGTCTAAAACTCACAATGAGTTTTCAGCATTTCTCTTAAACTCACCACAACTTTTCAAAATGTTTAAAACTTACCATGTCACTAACTTGACATTAAAAAACTAACGGGTGTTAATATATTACCATTTTAACCTTCATAAAAAAATATAAAATATATACAAAATAAACTAATGGGTGTTAATTTATTTCCATTTTAATATTTAGACATGAAAAAAAGAAAAAAGTTCAAGAAAAATATTTTCAAATATAAAATACATAAAACATAGGAATTACAAAAAATATAAAAAATTATAGAAATTGCAAACAAAATAAAAATTATTTTCAAATGATAGAAACTATAAAAATTGAAAAACAAAACCAGAAAATAAAAATTATAGAAAAACATAGAAATTGTAAATAAATAATGAAAATACAAGAAAATTAATAGATTGTAGAAAATAGAAAAATGTAAAAAAACATAAATTATAAAACATTGGAAATTATAACAAAACACTAAAAGTGAAAAAAAAATAAGAAAATTGAAAACTGAAAAAGACCATTTTTCTTCTAATTCATCATTCAAGGGTAATTTGATCATGAAAATTGTTATTTATGCTGATATGAACACTTATGATAATAAATATTTAAATATGCAAGAAAGATGAGTTTTGAAAAATAAAAACTTGTGGTAAATGTAAATTTAAGGGAAATGTTGAAAACTCATGGTAACTTGGTAAAGAGCATTAGTTCAAGTCAATTTCTAAATAACAGGGGTAAGTAAGTCAATTTGTCCTACTGGCTCGAAGCTCGACAACAAAAAGGTTTGTAACTTTTGTACTTTTTTTAGGGTTTTAGATTAGATGTCTCTTCAAAATTCAAACCGCTGAGCGTAGGGTTTATCGCCATCCTACTCATTTCCAGGTTTTAGGTTTGTGCGGTTTTGTTTTCTCATTCAAAGGAAACTTAAAATCGTCATGTGGGCGCTTCGTAGAGCTGTTCATCCTCTCAGGTAATATGATATTTCGCTCCATTTAATGCTGTTTATTCGTATTCTTCTTTAGATGAAATTGCTTAAGCATGCGTGAAATCATCTAATGTGTTTCAATTTATCAGATGGGTTTCGTCAAATTTAACCGCACTTAGGTTTTCTATTTCTGGGTTTTGTCCAGCATAACGTCCAGTCCTCTCCCCGCCATCTCTGTTTGTGTGTTATAATCTCTATTAGTCAAGTTTCTTTATGAATATTAAGTTAATTATTGGTTTTTTTTTTTTTTTTCTTTCCTTTTTTTTAGATTGCAAATGATTTTATTTCTACTGCAGCTATACGACTTTGGCCAGATTCTTCTTGTTTTCTTTTACTCTGCAAATATTTTAACCTGGATTGCATCCTTAGGGGTGAAGGATATCGCCGAGTTGTCTCTTCAGCTTGTGCTAAATTCGATATTGCAAGTAATCATGAAGAACACATTGTGGGAATTTGCGACTCTAGCCAGTTTACGTCTGGTAAAAGCATTCCTCTGGAGGGATTTCACCAAACGCGGCATCTTAATGCAAGGTTCTCTCTGGGGAGTAGTACCCGTAGCCTTTCTTCGCAGGCTGGTGCAAAAAGCAGCGGGGAGGAAGATGAGTTGGAAGATGGATTTTCCGAGCTTGAAGGTCCATCTAACACAGAAGAAATTGGAGAGGATGCTGTAGGAGAGGAGAATGATGAGGAATTGGTTTCCCAGCCAGAGCTCTCAGATGATGATGCAGTAGAGAGCATGGGTGATGCCTCCCATAACGAACTTGATGTGGAAGCTGATATTTGTACAAGTGACACAGGTGAGACAGAGTTACGGAAGAAGAGGGGTCATTCAGACTTGTTCAAAGTTATAATGGCTGCTTCACGTGATTCTGTTCGTGATGCTCTCAATAAATGGGTTGGAAAAAGTAACATGGTGAGCCGGCCTGAGATATTGTCTGCCATGCTTAATCTCCGGAAGCGCCGGATGTATGAAAGGGCTTTGCAGGTTTTCACTTTTTACTGATCAAATGGTTTATTTTTTAAGTTATCAATTATTGCTTTAATTGTTTTGTCAGTTCAATGTTAATGGAACTTGGATTGTTATGTGCATGGGAACTGGGTTCAGGCACAAACGTTTGATTCTGGGGGACACTATTCTCTCTTCTGTAGACAAGTACACTAAAGAAGTAGTGCATGTCTAAGATTTGAAATATTCTACCCTTAACCAAGTAAGAGATGAGAAAGCATGAAAAGTGGGAGATATTGGTTGTAGTGCATAGCTTGTTCAAAAGCATACCATATAGTTCTTTTTTTTCTCTTATGATACTCTTTTTCTTGTAATTATCAAAGAGCAAACTGATGTATATGATTTTTGTAATGCAAGCTCCTTGTTCTGGTTTTAGTGGTTGTATATATTCTATATTTGTATAATACACTACTTTATATTTTCTCAAAAAGGAGAGAGAGGGAGAGGGAGAGATGTTCTTTTTGCTTTCATAAAGGAAGATATCACATGTTATCTTATAATTTTTATTTCAAACAATTTCCAAACTTTGCAGTTATATGAACTCTGTGGTCCTAATGACCACTATGACATTCTTTTTTGTTTTAATTTAAATAATTGTGAAATAAAATAGTCATATCGATGTTAGATCAACTTAAATTCTGTTTTTCTTTCTACATACTTGGTGCTTAGAAACAATTTTATGGTTTTATATTAAATATCCTTCCCTTGTAAAAAACATTTGAGTGATACATCAGATAAGCACATTTTACATTGAGTCATGTTCAAAAAAGAATAAATTGACATATGGAGTGCTATATTCAGAACAGAATGAGAAGATAAGAAATAAAGAGTAAGGAGGGGTAGGAAATTTTAGTGTACTAAAAGATATCCATAATGAAATCCTGAACTCCATTCTACTTCTAGGTTTTTGAAGTTGAAACTTTTGATGGTTATTGGCTCTATAGTAAGGTCATATGGCAAGAAATGCTTCAGACTCATTATTAGACCTGTTCATGTGCCATGTAGTATGGTGGGCATGCTTGGTCTAGTCCATTCTTTATTGGGTTGAACATATTTTGAGGCCCATGGGCTTGGGCTCAGGCTTTAAGTATCAGGCCTGATTATTTTTTGGGCCGGGCTTGGGCTTTTGTAAATAACCCTGGTCCGATAATATTATATATAATAAAAATATATATTAGTAAATAGTAATATATAATAATATTATATATTAGTTATATCATAAAAATATATATTTGTAATATTTAATGAATTTTGCTTGGGTCCCAAATTTACTTTTACTTTCTATTTAGACCGGGCTTTGGGCTTTATATGAGGGTTGGGCTTGGTGTCTGGCCTGGACATTTTCTATCGATAAGTGTTAAATGGTAAAGCCTTGCTCGAGCCCAACCCTTGAATGGGTCCACTGCTCAGCTGTGGAGCCATTTTCTTAGTTATATGAATTTAAGTTGGGCTATGCCGAGGTCGGTTAAGGAGCTGTTGTGTTGCTGGAAGCTTATGGGTTTGAGCAAGAAAAAGAAGACTGTTTGGAAGACGATTCCAATTGCTGTGTTGTGGTCCATCTGGTCTGAGAGGAATAGAAGGATTTTCTGTAACAAGGCTTTAAGTCTGGAAGAGCTAATTCAAAAAACAGTGGGCAAACTGATGTCTTGGGTGTCTGTGTCTCAGCCTCCTGTGTGTAATTTCTTCTCAATAAATATTACTTTACCTTTTCCAAAAAAAAGGATTCAAATATATAGTCATACTAAATGAATTGAATTCGAATTGAAAATTGATGATTTGATTATAAATTGAATCAAATTTGGATATACCTGTGTGTAACTGTTGATTTGATCAGTCAGCCTTTTCTGGGATTGATCCCAGCCTCCTGTGTGTAATTTCTTCTCAATAAATATTACTTTACTTTTGGGGTAGATGGAAGGTCAAACTTGTAGAAAGCAAGAAAAGGCTATGACAAATGGCAGATCATTTGCGTAGGTGGTGTCAGGGGAAATAGACAAAAATATACCAGTGTCTAAAGGGAGAGGGCTGAACAAGCAACCTCAAACAGGGAGGGTTGCTGGTTCGACCATTAAAACAGGGGGCATGATTTGTTAAGAGGTCACGTGGGAGGAAAAGACTTAGAAAATGGGCCCAGTCGAGTGGATCCCTTTTCTGGTGGGCCGGAGAAGGCAACTCAAGTAAAGGCTTTAAATCTGGGTTCCTATATTACAAGTTTTGAGCCCAAGGCCCATTACAAGACAGATCGGCCAAGGGACCCTTTAAGTGAGCACATGACTGGGAGGAGGGATGAGCTGATAGACGAAATTAAGCGTCTATCTTCTTCTACCCCGAGTCCCTCTCAATCGAACAGTTCAGGCGCAAAATCTCAAGACTCTCAGTCTCGAGGCTCTCTGCAGTGGGTCCCATCCAACCTGGCGAACCTTCTCTCACCAGATAGGTGCAACCCGAGATACTTGAAGCCTAGTGATTTGAACAGAATAGGGTTTGAAGATTGGTTGAGTGAACAAAACAACAATGATGATTCTGATAGAGACGAAACTATAAGTTTGGGAAGTCTGTCTCCGAAAAGCAACAATGATTTACTTGAAATAGAAAGTTTGCATACATAGCTGTTGTTTTTCGAGGAAGAGATTGAAGAGGCAGGTGGCGGGAAGACTAGAAATGGTGAAGAAAATGGTCCTAAAGCTGTGAAAACTCCTCTTCCCTTTGTCGAGGGAGCTGACCCTGAGTCTAATGAATTACAGGATGTTGGTGGAGAGGGACAAGAATCGGCCGTGAGGATGGATGTGGGTATTCTAGTGTCGGAAACACAGAGAAAGGTTTTCCAAGTGGGTAGGTCGTCAGGAAGTGATTCTTTCACTATGTCTACTTCACAACTTTGTCCAAAAAGGGGAAAGGCCTTAAAACCATTTGTCGCCTGTCAGCAACTCAATTCCAATGATTCTAGTCCTACCCCCGTTCTACCAGGTATGGGTGTCAATTCTTGTTTAGGTACTGACTTGTCTGCTATGCCTGTAGCAGATATTCCGGCTTCCCATCCAGGAGGTTCTGATGCAAGAGAGAGGGTGATAGTGGAAGGAGGAGAGAGGGTGATGGAAGGAAGTAGTAAGGGGGAAGCAGACGGAATTTGGGAGTTGGTCTGTACAATGGAGGAACTATAAAAAAAGGAAGGATTCTTAGAGAGATGCTGTAGCCAAAATAAGTGTGAGCAAGGTAAAATTCTTCCTCAGACATTGGCTGGAAAGGATGGAGAAAAAAAAAGGATGATTGTTGTATTAGGAGGGGGGGGGGAAAGGAACAAAGAAGAAAAAAAGATCTGAAGTGGAAAGGCTAATCTCAGACATTGAGGGGGATTTAGAATTTAGTGGTAGAGGGGATAGGAGGAAGGGCCTAAAATGAGGAGATTATGGCCTTTTCATGGTTTTTTTTGCTATCTTGTCTCGATGAAAATCATTAGCTGGAATGTAAGAGGGTTAGGGAGTGCAAGAAAGAGAAGGGTGATCAAAGACCTACTCCGAAGGGAAAAACCCGATATTGTGCTGTTACAAGAATCCAAAATGATGGAATTAGATGGGAGATGGGTGAGGAGCTTTTGGAGGTCTAGAGGTTTAGGTTGGAGCTCATCTCTTTCTTGGGGAGCCTCGGGGGGGATCGTAACATTGTGGAGGGAGGATGTGGTGGAAGTAGTGGAAGAATTGATAGCCAGATTCTTAGTTTCTGATGGAGGGTGATTTGGCCCCCAGGTTGTGCTGCATCAGTTTCCATTAAGTGTAAGGATGTAGAGAATGGGTGTGTATGGGTCTTAACCAATGTTTATGGCCCTAATTCCTATAGAGAGAAGAATGAGATGTGGGAGGAACTATATGCAATCAAGGGGCTATGGGATGGCCCTTGGTGCTTGGGCGGGGATTTTAATGTCATTAGGTTGTCTAATGAAACCAGTAATCCCCAATAGGTAATTATAACAAGCATGAGGAAATTTAATGGCTTTATTGAAGAATGTGAACTAAAGGAAATACCTCTGCTGCAAGCCAGTTACACTTGGTCCAACCTTCAGGAAACCCCTTTGTGTTCGAAGTTGGACATGTTCTTATTTAACCTTGCCTGGGAGAATAGTTTGGAAAACTTGGTTGCTAGAGCGTTACCCAGGGTCACCTCCGATCACTGTCCTATCCAGATAGGTACTGAGTTTTTTCCTACAGGACCCGAACCTTTTAGATTCGAAAATGTGGCTTACGCATCCAGATTTTGTGAAAAAAGTGAAGGAATGATGGGGTGAGGAGGAGAGGGGGGTAAGATGGAAGGGGATCGAGTTTCATAAGAAATTAAAAGGGTTGAGAGCCAAAATAAAAGAGTGGAATAAAGATCATTTTGGTAGAATTGAGGAGCAAAAATTGTTCCTAATCTCTCGAATAGAAAACTTAGATGTAAAGGAATCTCAAAATGGGTTGACCGAGGAGGATAGGGTGTTAAGGAGACAATTGAAAAAGGATTTGGAAGAGGTGTTACTGAGGGAAGAAATCAGTTGGAGACAAAAATCTAGACTTGGCAAATGGAAGACGAAGAAAGAATCTTGTGACCAAACTAGAGATAGGAGAGGAGGTGATTACCAACCAGGATGACATWGCCAGAAAATTTGTGGACCACTTCAAATCGATTTATAGAAGACCTTTGAGTGAGAGAGCAGTTGTGGAAGGGGTGGAATGGCCAAGAATTGATGACGGAGTGGCAAGGTGGCTGGAAAGGGATTTTGAGGAAGAAGAGATTAAGAAAGCTGTCTTTCTAATGGATAGATCCAAGGCTCCAAGTCCAGATGGCTTTACAATGGTTTTTTTATCAAGACTGTTGGGAGGTGTTGAAAGAGGATTTAGTTGAAGTCTTTAAGGAATTTGTAGACAATCACATTATAAGCTCTGGAATTAATGCCACCTTTTTGGCCTTGATACYTAAGAAGAATGATRCCAACCACCCAAAAGATT